GGAATTTGGTGTTTGTTGTACCCATCCACCACCCGTACCACCCACCTTGTCGGAATTTTGCCAGGAACTGCGCATTGGTTCGACAGCCCATTGTTCCGACCATATTAAACTCATTGTTCCGAAGTCCGTTCCTAAATCATCATGATGCCCTGTGTTTAAGTTCTGGTTAGGTTTAGGCACAAATACCACTTGGTTAGGGTCAGGAAAAGATCATGGTGTGGGTTAAAATGAAAAAGAAAGTGAAAACACATAAGCCGTGGGCCTGCTCCGCCTCAAGCCGGTCGCGGCGCACCATACGCCCGCTGCGAGCCGTTCAGCACTGAGGACAGTCGGACTAATGGGATGTCGAACCAATGGGCTGTCGAACCAATGACATGGACCCATTTTGCCACCATAACTTTCGTTCTCGCTATTTAACTATAATGGCGACTAGCCGCATATTACGCCAGAGTTAAAGGACGCCTTTTTCGTCAGTATCTGATGCCACAAGGCACTGCCCAAGTGCCAAATTTTGACTACTTCGCAATGAGACTGGGTTGGGTTTTTTTTCCCAGGATAATGTTTTTAAGTTCCTTTTTTTCATCTGTAAAAAAACAGGTGGAATATGTTTTGCCAGGTATAAAAAAAGACATGACAGTAATGTTACCTAACTTGCTAACACACAATATATGTAACTTGTGTTTCGAGTGAATGGAGAACTTAGAGCTCACCTGGAAGAAAACATGAATGCTCTGAGTCCTAATTAGAACATAGGGTTGTAGTGCACTTCAGCCCCTTGTGGCCAAAATGAGTACTACAACACCAGATACTTCTACACATCCAGACCAAAAAAAACCCACCAAAAGTTTAATTCGCAGACGAGAAAAACCCAAACCTAAAGCAATTCTTTGTTTTCACAGATGAAAAAAAAGAGGAACTCAAATAGAGAGGAACTTTAAAAACCTTTTATTTTCACCTGTCATAAACACAGGAAAAATAAAAGCCTGATCCGCTGATACAAGGCAGGATGGATCCATTCTTTCATGCTGTTTACACCAAATTCTGACCCTTCCATCTGAATGTGGCAGCAGAAATCCAGACTCATCAGACCAGGCAACGTTTTTCCAATCTTCTATTGTCCAGTTTTGGTGAGCCTGTGTGAACTGTAGCCTCAGTTTTCTGTTGTTAGCTGACAGGAGTGGCACCTGGTGTGGTCTTCTGCTGCTGTAGCCCATCTGCTTCAAGGTTGGACAAGGTGTTGTTGGTTCAGAGATGGTCTTCTGCAGACCTTGGTTGTAACCAGTGGTTATTTGACTTCCTGTTGCCTTTCTATCATCTTGAACCAGTCTGGCCATACTCCTCTGACCTCTGGCACCAACAACCATGCCATGTTCAAAGTCACTTAAATCACCTTTCTTCCCCATTCTGATCCTCAGTTTGAACTTCAGCAGGTCGTCTTGACCATGTCTACGTGCCTAAATGCATTGAGTGGCTGCCACTTGATTGGCTGATTAGCTATTTGTGTTAAGGAGCAGTTGAGTGGGTGTACTTCATAAATTGGCCAGTGAGTGTCTAATACTACTTTAAGTTGCCCACATTACTTGGGTACATGTAACTTTCCCCACTGGTTTTAACTCATGTTATATGAGGTAGGACAGCTCATATAAGGTGTTTGCAACAAAGGAAACATATAGAAACAGTTTCCTTTTGCAGAGTTACTGCCACAGCCACAGCAACACATTTCATTTAGTGCACTGATGAGATGAATCCAGGTAAAAGTCATTATCACTTCTGCAGCAGTACAGATTAGGACTAAATCAAACCATCAAAATGCAAATACAGAGCATCTTAATTAAAGTTTTAAAGCACTGAGACAAATGAGATATGGCTGCAGCTGAGATGTCGCCAAGCATCCTTTGTTTTGGTAATTTTTCATCTTATTACTGTCAGAGACTTTAATCACAGCAGTTTGTGATTTTACCTTCTGTCATCAGATATTTAGCAGACAGTGTGATCGACTACACTGCAACAAAGAGGCTGTGAAGATTATTTCAGCCTTTATAGGTAACTGACCAAATACAGGAGTATTTGTATTGTTGTCATTGTTTTTTATTTATTCATTTCAAATGCTTTTCCATATTTCCAGTACTTTGTGGTTTTATCTGTCTTGGATGGCTGTTAATATGTTTGCCAAACAATGCCAAATAAATTTAAATATATGTGTAGCCTACATTAGAAAACTTTTTGTGTGTTTAAACGCATGCGCAGTGTAAAGTTGGTGGAATAACAGATATTGCTTCCGGTACAGACTTTCAAAATAATACAATGATTTCATTAAATAAAAATGACAAAAAGGCCCAAATGTTGATTGCTAACAAATAGATATTTAAAATGACAGAAATTATTGTCCAAAATGGAAAAACCCTTATGTTTTTGAACCACACTGACTGTCTGGATGAACAAGGTCTTTCGTTAACCATCACGAATCGTTTGTTGAAGGGGTCAAAAACATAGTTACTACAAGAGTAAAAGTAAAATTCATTCAAAGGAAAAAGATATATTAGAGACTTAAGAGGTAACAGAGAGAGTTAAGATTGATGTCCATGTCAGGGATACAGACAAAATTGAGGACGGACAAATAGTAACTAGTTGAGAAACCAAGTTAGGCAGCTTTTTAGATTCAGTATCAACTCACAGAGAATGTTGTATGTTGGACAGCATACTGAGTCAATGCTCTGATTTTACTATATAGGCTACATAATAAGATCAACGTGTGATGTGGACATAGGTCAGTGGTTCCCAAACTTTTTGTGGCTTGTGACTCCTTCAAATGAAGCAGTACCAGATGAGGCCGCTCCTCCTCTAATTTTAAGAGACAAGAAGAACATTGAAATATGAAAATATAGTAGCTTGTGAAATAAAGAAATTGCCAAATTTCAGAATCATTCACTAAAAAATATCTCTGCAATGGAATAAAAAGAAGCTGTTATTGAAATTCTGATTAAAAAGCTTCAACAGCTACACCTGCAGGGAAGCAAGATGGGAAAAGGCAGTCTGGGTGATGTGGAGGTTAACTGGTGACTCTAAATTGTCCTTAGTTGTGAATGTGAGTGTGAATGGTTGTCTGTCTCTATGTGTCAGCCCTGGTGACCTGTCCAGGGTGTACCCTGCCTCTCACCCAGTGTCAGCTGGGATAGGCTCCAGCACCCGCGACCCATAACAGGATAAGCGGGTATGGAACATGAATGAATGAATGAATGAATGAATGAATGAATGAATGAATAGTGCTAAAACAACTTAAAAATTGGCTGAATAATCTGGTTGAAAGTCTGAACTTTGTATTAAAAAATAGTGAAAGATCTCTGAGGCTGCTCTCACCCTTTAAGGGCACAAATGGTTCAGTCCACCTGTGCCCTAACATCTGTCTGTGAATGCAGCCAGAGCCGAGTGAGTGACCACTAACGCTGCTGGACTGGAGCACCAACGTACACTATTATGTCTTCCCAAAAAAGAAACTCAAAGCAAGCAAAGCAAACTGATTATTTTTTTAATTCAAAAGGTCCTCAAGAGATACGTGGCTCAGGAGAAGAAAGTTGGGGGGCCCTCAGCGACTGCTCATGCATAGGGCCCAGAATTTGGTGCTACGCCTCTGGTGGGGTTTTTAAGAAATCTTATTTGTCTTACTCGTGACTGATTAAGGTAACATAATGAATACACATGCAACCTCCTCCATTTTACATAGCTTTGATTCAGTACATCATGCATCTCTGTTTTGTAACAAATACAAAGTCACTTACTCATCACTGTATTCTTTATGATTTGATGAGTTGGACGTCACTGACCACTCACAGACAACAGCACTGGTATATGTTTATCTATAAGGCAATATTGGGCAAACATCCGGTCGATCTCTGCACCTAGTTACCAGCTACTCTCCTCCAAGTGGTTGCTTTTTAATGAACCCATGGTTTTATCAGATCTGGGGAAAACTGCATTCTCCTACTCTGCATCTTGGCATGTCCAAGAACAATCTCCAAAATGATCTAAAACTAGAAACACTTATATCCATTGATGAATTCAAGAAGAATGTGGTGACAGAGACATGCTTCTTTTTCCTGATAGTTGTTGTTTCATTGTGGATTTTTGTATTATCTGTAGTGTTTGTTGCATTTTAAATGTGTTTTGATTGGCTGCTACCTTGGCCAGGTCTATTTTGTAAAATAAATGTTCAATCTCAATGGGACTTCCTGGTTAAATAAAGGTTAATTAATTTAAAAATTAAACAGTAAGCCATTGTTGAACTGCTTTATTTTTCATTTACCATAATAAAGTAGAGATAAGTTGCTAGCTAGTGTAAAAATAACATGATGCCATGGGTTGGATTTTCGTTAGTGGCCGTTTTGGTAAGGAACCGGAACCAGGGCGAGTGAGACAGGATCCGGAATTTGATGGATGCGCCTTTCCATCAAAATAAAAGCACCAAGCTAATAAAAATGTGGTGAAACTTTTTAATTTAAAGAATATAATTTACAAGAAAAGCCCCAAGCCATTAAGTTAATCAATTTTCTTACACCCCTCATCACCCCAAATCGATGGTGCGCCAGAATTTAAAGTTTTACTTTGGTGAACACTTTCACTTTGGTGAATTTGGTGAATTCCGGATCCGCTCTCTAGACCGGAACCAGAATCCAGACAAAATTCAGAGTGAACAGAGTGAGTAGAAACTCTGCAAGGCTACCTCATCACAGGTTAGGGCCCTAGTGTGGAAATAAACTTTGAAAATATAAATGATTTTTTTTTACAGTCCTGAAACAAGTTCAAAATATATAGTATTTAAAAAGAAAAAGGGCAAAACCTCTCTTTCACTCCTTAAATCTGCTTGTAACCCCTCCAGTTTACCTCAGCCCCGGTTTGGGGAACAACTACCAACAACGGATGGCTTCAACGCTTTTATTTTGAAGGCCGTCTTCCCGGAAGTGTCCCTCCGGTCTCTTTAGCTTGACGCCTTTTGAAATGGCCCCTCTTAGTTTGGATGAAAACTTCAGTTGAGTGTGAAACTCAATGGGAAGGTGAACGCGAACCATGAAGCTCCTGTAGAAAGTGCCCAAAGTGTTTGGAATAAAGCCGCCGGAGACTGCAGGATCCCTCCTCAAACTTTTATCGGTCGAAAACTGTGAGTTTAACCGAAGTTTAAATGAAGTTTAAGAAACAGCCGCTAGTTTAACGGTTTGTTTGTTGCGTTGCGCTGCTAGCTTAATTGCGTTAAAACTGTAACGTTACGCCTTTTAATTGAACGTAACTTTGCTAGCTAACGTAGCGTGACTAACAGTTTAGCTTAGCTCACTTTTACTAGTTTTTAATATTATCTAGTATCTAATATATCTTTTTATTGCTATGGTTAACGTTACTAATATAATTTCAGTGTTTGTGGTGACTTAAAAGGAATAAAATAGATGTGATTTTGGCTCATAATTAATTTTTTTATTGACGTTTTTATTTAATTTTCTTGCTTTTGCGTGCCAAGAAATTCCCATAGCTAATATACTTGTGAGTTTTATTAACATTTTATGGGTTTTTTTTAATGGCAAAATCATTCTGCAACTCAATAACTGCATTGTTAGTGCTTTCATATTAACAATACTTATATAAAACCTACTAATTTATATCATATACCATCCACAGAGAAGAACAGATATGAGAGAGTCATATTGACTCAGATTTTATACTTTTATGGGTGTTATATTTGTACCAGAGAGTTGAATTGTGCTAGCTTTTTATGTGAAAACTGTATTTTTAATTTAACCACGGCTAATTTATGCATCACATGACCATTAATGTCCAAGCCAACTCATGAATCACTGCGGTGAACCTCCACTTTGGCTCCCACCCACGTCCACTGTTTAAAAGGCAGCAGCAGCCAGCAGTTTAAAGCTGCTCCTGGTCCAGCGTCGGCTCCTTTCATTATCAATCTCAGACTTCTGCTGCCTTTGTTTGGGTATACCTCTGCAGTCTTAAGTTGTTCAGGAAAAACCTCCCTCCTGAGGCGCTGCATGACCTGCTGGCAGCCTTCCTCCCTGCATACGGCTGATGATGTCTTGGCTTCCGGGCAGTGAACTGAAAGCATAACAAAGGATTTTATTTCCCTCTCTGACAATAACCATATTTGTATCCCGCCACCGCCACTACCACACTCTCACGGCTAATGGTGGGCTGCTCAGAAAGTCCATGCTGTTGCACACTTGCTTGCACAGCTATATCTGATGTTACACTGTTAGAGCTGGCATAATAAAACTCATTTTCACACTGCAGTGATTGTTTAAGACTTAGATCTCCTGGCACCAGTCATCTTGTTTTCCCCAGGCAGCAGGCATTTATTTGTTGCACAGTCAGGTGAAGAGGAGGAAAAGTCCATTATTGGTGTTATTTGTATTGGCAGCAAAATTGCAGTAAGATCAACATGGCACAGAACCCAAAGTTTTCTAGTTTTTAAGTTATTTATCTTGAAGCCACGTGTCAAGAAAACTGTCCAGGCCTTTCTGTGACAGGCACCTTTTTTTCTGACATTGCATTCCCTGCATTCCTGGTGCAGTACTTGTGGTGGTGTATTTTGAAAGAAGGGAGCTGTCACTGTAGTGTCACATGATATATGTGGATGTTTACAGGCTTCTGAACTTGAATTAAAATCCTAACTTAATCTGAAACATTTGTCTCACAGGAATATAATTAAAGGGCCCAGTTTTAAATCTGATCTGTACACGTGGCTTTTGGAGTATTTCAGTTTTGTCGGTGCATAGAGTGCAACATAGAGTGCAGCAGGGACTGCAGGGAAATGGCCATTTCTGACAAAGAGGAAGACGTTTCTCCAGAATGTGACAGGAAACGCTTCCTGATAGGATTGAGTGACGGTTTTCCTGTGTGTAGGGATGCCTCTGTGTTTATGGTGTCAGTCATTTTAGGCACTACTATAGAGCTCGTTTGACTTTGCAGCATTTTTTTTCTCAGTTTAAGGCAGCAGCTGTGAAACTGTGCCCTACAAAGACTTCATACTGCTTCTGTGCTAAGACCTTGATAACAAAAGCTATGAAAGTCAGTTTTTCTTGGCTGGCGGTGATCTCTTACTCAGTTCCTCCTGCCCCCTTTTCCACAATCCTCCTTTATTAGTTTCCCCCTCCAATGTGATTTTTTTTAACTATGATGTAGTTTAGGGCCACATGGAAAAACTGTAAGAACTTAAGATCAGTGTCGCGCTGCTATCATGTGAGTTTTTTGAAAGACAGAGAGTTGTTTGTGCAGTGTCTCAATGTGGCCGCCGCTGCACCAGTTTAAAGTCTGGGCTGTTGTGACTGTCAAACAGTCAGACCTCACAGCAGCCCAGACTAAAAGTCCACTGGACCATCTCTCAGGGGGGAAGTGTAAACAAAGGCAGGGTGTTTGGCTGGTGGTTGGATTTCACGTGGGATTGACTTGCACAAGTCACGCTTCAGGTCCACATTACCTCTTCAAGTGCTACTGTAACTATTACACATGTGCTGCAACTAATTGAGGTCAGAGCTGAAACAATGAGTTGCTTAACTGATAACTACTGTTTTGATAACAGATTAGTCTGAGTCATTTTTCAATTTGAGAAAAAAGCCCCCAACACTTCCCTAGTAGGAGAATTTGCTGCTTTCCTTTGTCTTATGTGACACTTGATATTGCAACCATATTAAAAGGTTGACTGTTGGTGCTCTATTTGAAATGAACATATATATTTACATAGTTAAAGGGAGTATAAATGAGTGTTAAGTGGGTAAAGGCAAATACTGAAACAGCTAGGACAGTGTGGTAGATTCAGAAAATTACATTACTGTAATTGACTCTTCGCTAAGTCCCACCCCTGGACGCAGACTGGCCAATCTTAACATAGCATCGGGCTGGCTCAGACCAGGGTCCGACAACAACACAGCTGTGCTCCATTGACTCTAATGCAGTCATTTCAGATTTGTGGATTTGGAGCTAAATGTTGTGCCTGTGGCATGTTGTGTATTAATGATACTCTTTACCTGGAGAGGTTGGAAAAAGATATACGTTTCTTCCCTGTTCCAAAATCAAAATCAGACCCTGAAAAGTGTAGGGTTAGCTAGCTAGCTACTGAAGATATAGCCTACTGAATGTATACACATGCTGCTTTTGCTTTTTAATGATTTTAACAGTGAAACAAAGACTTACCCTGCTGTACAGGAACCAGTGAAGGGAAGCAGGGAAACTTTGCTCATATTCAACCAGCTGTGTGTCATCGCATTGTGCGCAGATAAACGTTGTTTGACTTCCCTTGGAGATCCCCACCTGTTGGGTGGCAGGGGTCCAAAGGCTGGCAGCACAGGGCGAAGCCAAACACTGTTCATCTGCACACACTGTGATGCCACACAGCTGGTTCAATATCAGCAAAGTTTCCCTTTATATTCATTGGCTTCTGTGGCGATCAGCAGTGATGTGGTGGTTCACCTCTACACTGTTATCAGCCACTCCTACTGCTACTAAACAGACCGCCACAACCACAGATAATTGAATTAATTATGGTTAATTTACTCAAAAAATGATGCTGAGATCAAAATACCTCTTGCAAGAAAAAGCACAGCATGCAAGGAACTTACAGGAAACTCCAAACTAACTTGTGGTGCTATCCAGTATCATTGTTTTTGGCTGTAAATTCAACTAAGGATGGTCGATGTCTTGGCAACTTGGATAACAAAGCTTTTTAAATTAAAACACAAGTGCACCGGCAGCTTCTGGGTAATGAAATCTGACTTTGTCATATTTCTCTGGATGAGTCTGATAGCTTTATTGAATTAAGGATCCAATGTCCCTTTAATCAAATGCCACTGGAGGCTGGTGGTTTAAGAGTGGTGGCAACAACACAAGCACACAGTATATCTTCATAACCCAGCAGGATAAAGACACACATTATTTGAACTTGTTTTGATTGAGACTTGGTGTTTAAAACCTCAAGATAATTTGCTTTTGATCCAGCAAGCAACACTGCAGTCCACCATACTACGACAACTTATTGAACTACAATTACTAATGCTGCTTCTAGTGCTACTTTGAGCCAGTTCAACTCTGATTTGCACATCTGTATCACAGCTGGAAGCAGGCTAGTGGAGCACAAGTGTTTGAGGCACCAGCAGAGGCGTGTGTTTGTGTATATTCATATATATATATGTGTGTGTGTGTGTGTGTGTGTGTGTGTGTGTGTTTGAGCCCGACCACTCAGCGTAGGGTCAAGTAATCCCAGCCCACTTCTCTTTTAGAATGCATTGTCCCTCCCCCTCCACATCTCGTCCTCTACATCTGGTTGATATTAAAACCACCTTACAGCCAGTCCAGTTTGATTCTCAGACAGTTTTGTCTCTCTTTAAAATCGACTTGGAAATATTACTTCTGTCAGATACTGTAAGAAAGATGGCACTGATACCTTTTGACAGGTTTGTGTGAGTGAAATGTATAACCATCGTACAGTATCAGTTACAGAGTCATGGTGGGTCATGGTGGTATTTATCTGTTTTTCTTGTAGTCTCAACAAACCTTTAAAAAAAAAAAACTAAAACCAGTAGTATGAAAGTCTGTCCCACAGTTCTTTCTGACTTGTCTGTGGCACTCATCTCCAAGCCCAGTCATTCCCCCTAAAGATGGAAGCATTTCAAAAGAGGTCAAAATATATATCATTTTGTTTAATAATTATTCAGTGCACCACAATCAGAGCGCAAAGCGTACTCTAGGCACAGGCAGAGCAGCAGAACGCCTGGCGCAGTAAAAATGGAACTTAACCATTCATTGATTCATAGCGAAATAGAACCAGTGACAGCACTCTCATTTTAGTGTTGTCCATTGTTTTTCCCAACTTATTTTAGATGAAACCTGCTGCATTCAATGGAAACAGTGCACCCCACAGTCCAGCGCTGTTTAAAGTTTGCTTTCACTCGCCTCTGCAGCAGCTGCTCCTCTAACCCATCAATCTGATGTACTCAGATTGATCCGACCACCAACTAATCAACTGATCAATTCCCCACCCAAGAGTTCCACTAGCAAAAACCTCCAAAGTCAGAGAGGTAGAGAACTACCGCCACACATAAACTAAGCGCAAAAAGTAGGAAATTTGTGTTAGGCTTTCCAGCGGTATAAGATTTATTTAGA